TATATATATATATATATATTTTTGTTATTAATATTATATTTTTGATAAATTATTTTATTAATTAAAAAAAATATATATATATACCTTATATTAAATAAGTTTCTGCGTCCGTCCCTAAATCATATGTCAACTAAATTAATGGCTGGAAGCAAATAACAAAAATTTAGGGAATTATATACACTTTCACAGTAATCTTCTCTTTATATTATACTAGATGACAGATTCACATTTTATTATATATATTTAGATTTGTGATTAATATAATATTTTATTTTAAATTTGCAATTCAACCATACAATTCTGGAAACAACTACAAAAACTATGATACTTTTTCAATAGTTCCATTCACATTTCTCCACGTCCTATTCTCTAATAAATTATACCACACACATCTAGATGAAGAGTAAAAATACATCACACTCTCCATCACGCACCAAAGAAAATGACTTGTTTAATATCTTGTGCTGCTCTTACCTCTTTTCACTTAATATCTTTTACCTTGCACTTGCTACGTGAAACAAATTACCAAAAACATGTAGAAAATAATTACTTTATATCTTAATATCTTCTAGAGAGATAAGTCGAACAGAGAGAGGGAGATTGAGAAAAATAGAATCTTCATAAACGGTGGGATGATGAAAAAGGTATCTAAGTGAAGAAGTGATTTGAAGGTAAAGTAATAGAAATATATAAAATAAACTTTGCTAATAAAACTATTTTCATTGGTAGAACCCTGAGGTTTTTAACAAATTTTCTAATATAAATTTTTCATCATCTTATTTTAAGAAATTTGGTAAAAAAAATATTTTTCTTTTCTTTCATTGGTAGAATCTCATTAAGAATTTTTAAAAATAAAAAAATTATATTTAAATATAAGCAGCAAAACAGATTATGCAAAAAAATCATCAAAACAGAGCAACTAATTTAACATGAAATCTGCAATAGAAACTAGTAGATGGAAAGATTTATACAAAAATTCTAGTTTGTTTTGGGATTCTTAGCCATAGGATTTTATGACCAGATTTTTGGAGAGTAAAAACAAATTTGAACCAATCAGAGCGAAAATCACCTCTGTGTCTTTCTGCTCAGATCTTCTTCTTTTCGAGAAGAAGACGATTCGGTAGTCAGCGAACCCATATTTTTTATCTGGTTTTAGAAACTAAAATTATGAAAGAAAAAAAAATTTATAAAAATTGTGAAGAAAAGAATTTGTGATTGTTTTAAATTTTTGATAGAATTAAGTTGATCCAACCACATACTGACACATAGCAAGTTCTTAACAATTCTGAAAGTTCTTAAATAAGAAATATCTTTATTGCTTTTACATATTATTCAATTGTGTTTTTACTTTCCAAAAATCTGGTCATACGTGAAGATTCTTCAGGCATTTTTTCTCTCTTTTTAAGTTTTTTTTCCTCTCTAATTATTTGTGTTTCCTAAGGTGAGGCTTAATGGTATTTTTGTTTATATAGGTGTTGGAAGGGGAGATCGACAGAAAATATACTTCATTTGAAAATATGGAAGTATATTCGATATTATTTTAGATTTTTGGAAAAGAAATGACTAATATTGTTTGTTGAAAATTAATAACTAATGTGAACAGAAAAATCATGGAATCTCTAGATGAGTTGTGTGAGATCATAACAACAACTTCTTTCAAATATGTGAGGATCGATCTTGAAATGGATCAAGTGGTTAAGGTCTCATCGTCACCTCATAGATAATCACAGGGTGATGCATGGTATTTCCCAAGACCTTGAAGAAACTTGTCAAATCCTCATAAACAGCATAAATGAAGAAAATGAAAACTGCAGTATTCATAATTTGTGCAAAGATATATGAGTTTCAATTATGCAAGGGCATAATTTTACTATGCAAAACGTGTTTTAAGGATTTTGCTCATTGTAAAAAGGGATTTTATGTCGGTTTTTTTGCTAAAATGTAAATATTATATAAATGAAAATTGTGGTTTTACAATAAGCATAACATGAAACAACGGCTACAACACCAGCATCACATCCGTCAGTTTAATCAAACAGCTGTTTCATTCAATCGAGTGATTCATTTTTTTTTTTCTTAGAGGACCAGTAAAAATTTCACTCTTTATTACTAATTTCCCTCCATTTATTAGTTTTTTCTTCTGCAAACAAAAAATATTCAAGACTATGTTAGCAACAAATCGATTTAGATGAGGTAAACTTTTATCTCAACATGGGGTTTCTCTCTTCAACCTCTCAACATTTTTTTCTCTTTTTCAAAAATGAAACCTTTACTTATAAATTCATAACAGCATCTACTGAATATGTGAGGATAAATTTGGAAATGAATCTAACTGTTATTGTCAAGCTAAGTGCTTTCAAAAAGACTGATCATAATGTTAAGGATAATCACAAAATAATGTATAGTATATCCAAAAATGTTAAAGAAATATTTCTTGCTTCATTTAATACATAATATAAAATTTATGAGAATAAATTATTTTGGATAAAAAAAATTGTAAACTGTTATGGATAAATAACTATAAAAATTCACAGCTAATTTTATTTTATTAGCAACTCTGTAAATAATATATCAATATATAAGATTAAGAAAGTTTGAAAATAATTTATGTTTTCTTTAAAATACGGTATTTTAAAATTTTGGGGCCCAAAGCTATTGCTGTATTCGGCTAGTCCAGGTCTGGCTTTGGTTGTAACCCCTTTAACACATATCGTCGTTACCCACCAGTTAGCATTAGATGGTCATATGAAATGAATTTTCATGTAACATCTGTTTATGTTATAGGCTTATAGTTGTATGATCTGCTTTTGTATCTTCTTCGTGTCACTTGTTATAGAAACTATTTTTTACCCGGAAAGTTGCAATAGTGGAAAATCAAGATATTTAGGTATTTTCCGTTTAACCACAAAAGTGATAATTGTGGGCTAAATTCAAACATTCTGCACATTGACCCGAACCGAAAGGATCCTCCCAAGTGATAAAATGGGTTAGTCGAAATCAAAAAGACTTTTATCCTCCCTCTCGTGCCTCCTCTCTGTCTCCTCGTTTCATTCATAACTTACCAGAACTATTTCCGTAGCAACTTAATGAATTTTGTCATGGGTTGCGACAACATAATGTGTAGCAAATAGTGGGAAGTGACTAACTGATTGCTACAATTTAATTTTGTAGCAAACTAATATTTGGCTTAAATCAGTAGCAAGTTAGTTACAGCTTGCTACACTGATTCTGTAACAAAAAATCGCTATTCGAAGCAACTTTTTGCTACAAATCGGTTCTACCATTTTAAGGATGGTAGTTATTCTTGTTGACCAGTGAAGAGGAGTCAGTGGCCTTTTCTGGTGTGTGTGGTATAGTGAACTGAGAATCAATGGTTGTCACTTTAGTATACTCGTTCTCTAATTGGTGGTTAGAGCGAAGTTTCTAGGACTTTGAGTTTGGCTGCTGCAAAATGCTTAAGAAAGTAGAGGCGAATGAGATGCATCAGTTGTTGCGAGGTTGGAGAAAAGTAGATGATGATGAATATATAGGTATGGTATGTCATTGGTTTGGTGAAGCAACTTAGCCTCTTGTCTTTTGCATTAGGTCGTAGCCAATATGACAAACATGTACTTGCTTTAACGAACTTCAGAAACTGGTAAGACATATATATGAGAAAGTTGTTGGAGATTTGATGACGCCTAGCTCCTCTTGTAGTCCGTCTTATCTTGAGGTCTCTCTTCTTATTCCTTTAAAATGTACTCATAAGAACTTGAATGAAAGAAAGAAGCTCGGAAGCAGATGCGGTGAGGTTAGTTTAGCTGATGGGTTCTTGGTTGGTCCAGGCTATCCCGGTAAGATATTGAATCTTTTATCAAGGCGTTTTAGAAGTAAATCGGTTGATAAAATATAATTTTTGGCTCTTGATTGATCACATTTGGCGTTAAGTAGCATTATGATTGATCACATTTGTTCATTTTTTGGTGCATATGATTGCTGTTTTTTCTTTTCTTTTTGTCTCTTCATTTGACATAGGTCCTTATTCTCCTCGCTTTGCTCTATACCAGAAAAAAAAAACTTAACTCAAGGGTTAGAGTCATAAACCAAATAGAATATTATTACAGGCAAGTTGTATTTCTATACAACAAAAATTTACCCTCTTTTGCATCGAATTAGAGAATTGCGATGAAACATTTCACACTTATATGCGAATACTGAATCATAAACCTCCTAAAGCACCCTCAGATCCAATATCTATGCCACTCTTTCGTCATCAAAGAACCGGAAAATTATAATTGAAAGCTTAAAGACATTTCCTAAATTCTTTGTCTCACGAATCCCAACTATATAAAATTAGCATATAAAAATCCCATGCAATCATATAATATATAAAAGTTGATAGCATAGTGCATTGAGGGCGTTCACATGGGATTAAAAAACTCGATCTGATTGGTCTATATCAGCATATTCATTAAATAAAAAAATGTTAAGTATGATTAGGACGGAAAAACTTGATTTAATTGGTCTACATCTGATGCGTGAGTCTCGTTTTTGTTCGCTTTTCGCTCTCTGACACTTGTTTCGAGAACGGTCCTTAACCGCTGGCTCCTTAGATACACCACTTTTCAACCACTTTTCTTTACCAAAAATAGCAAGTTTTTTCAAATTTCCATCCTTTGAGAGTCGCGCCTCCGCGGTTCCACCCCCACCCCCGGGTCGGAGGGTCCGCCACATCCACCGGAAACCACCATGGAGAACCACACTCAACCCCCGAGGACCAAGCCTCGTCCAATACTCCCATCGCCAGTTCAGGAAGGATATATCCTTTATCCAGCAGACGGGCTTGAGCTTGCTATTGACCTCATCCAAGGCAGCACTTTGGTCTAGTTAACCTACCCACATCCCGCCTACCCCACAGTGGGGAACCTTACAACTTGTAGTTCACTCGCATACTCTACCCGCAAGATCTCAACATTCCAAATCGAAAGCCGCCTCCAGCGTATGCTCCTTGCTCCAACAAAATGGCTCACAGATACTCAACGGCGGAGAAAGGAAAGTGGATCCCTGTACCCTCCCAACAAGAGAGACGCACACCCATTAAGATCCCAGAGAGTGACAACTCTACGCTCATTGAAGAAAATAAACTTACCCTGATAGGAAGAGTGATGAACCCACTAGTCCAAAAACCTCACTGGGTAGTAGAATGGCTCTCTCAGTTCTGGAATCTCAACGCGGCTGTTGTGGGAAGACCCCTAGGTCCAGATCTGTTCAGCTTCAAGTTCGAGACAGAGGAAGACCTAGCAAACATTCTTCGCAAGTCCCCCTACCACTACAAGAGATGGATGCTCGTCCTCCAAAGATGGGAACCTGTCATCTCCAACGACTACCCCTCCTCCATCCTGTTTTGGGTCCGGATCCATGGGGTCCCGCTACACTACTGGCAAACAATAACATTCCACTCCATTGGGAAAGCTCTCGGTAGAATCGTTGATGAAGATATCCCAGAGGGAAGGCTACGTCTAGAACTAAACGGACTGAAGCCGTTGGAAATGAAGCTACCAATCAGTATACCTTCCGGGGAAGTCATCTGGATTACTCTAGAATACGAAAAGCTTGAAAAGCACTGTTTCCACTGCTACTCCCTCATGCATGAGGAAAAGGAATGCCCTCTAAAGCCCGCTAACACAACCACAGAACAAACTACCAGGGGAATAAACCAACTCAACACGGTTTCAACCCTAGAAGAATATAGACGGAGGAACCAGAATAGACTGGGAGACCTTCCACCAAGAAGACCTGAAGCTTCACAGAATAGAGAAATCTCCAGTTACCACCACAGAGATTTACAACCCCGGGAAAGAGACCAATCTCGTTCTGACAACAGGAGAGACTACTCTCCCAGGAAATCAAGAGTCTTGGAAGAGCGCCTCCGCTACCCACCTCATTGGGATTCTCATAGAAATGCCAGCCGTGAATACAACCGCCTGGATGACAGGGCTTCGAGCAGAGGAGACTCTCGGCTCCACTTGAAGGAAAGAACTCCTCAATACTTCAGACCCATAGCTCGGAACGACAAAGAACCCTCCTCTAAAGCGGGCAGCAAATCAGAAAATGCTGACATAACTAGCCCACCGAGATTCATTTCAGACATCCAAGGTAACTTGCACAGGACCACACCTCAACCCTCCCAAAGAACTCAAATCTCTCATACACCCTCACCAACCCCTTTAAGAGAACCTATGTTATTACCGTCGCATACGGAAGTAGGGGAAGGCATCATCCCATCAGCTCAACGCAGATCAGCCTTGGACATAATTTCTTCACAAAGTCCCCCAGTCCCTCCAAGGAGCCACGAGGGATCTAGTCTGCTCTCTGAACGTCTCCAGGAAGTGAAAATCCAGTACGACGAAATCATTGGAGGTCAGACAAATGAAATCCTCTCTTCAGGAGAACGTATTCATTCCTCCCTCCGCCTGGGAGCACCGACGACTTTGAAACGTAAACCTGCAAGACAAACCACAAGGAAAACAGCTTCAACCTCTAAAACAATAGCGAAGAAAAGATCCACAGGAGCCAAAGGAAAGTTAATCCAGAACCCATTACAGGGAGCAAACACAAGGAAACGTCTAACTACCCGGAGAGTAACTTCATTAAAAAAACGCATAAACCAAGCAGAAACTACCACTTCAGAGCAATTACCTCACAATGAGGAAGCAGGCCAAACATCCAGGTTACCCAAAGCCTCACCGAGGAGAGGAAGGGAGGATTTTCGAATCCCCCAAAATCCCCTTCCTTAGCCGTAGCAAGCTGGAACTGTCAGGGAATTGGGGCCATCCTGACAGTTCACCGATTGAGGGAAATCCGCCTAACCCTCTTCCCAGACATCCTCTTCCTGGCGGAAACAAAAAACATGGTCCTGAATTCCCTCCAATGGATGGGATATGACCATCATTTCACCGTCCCCCCCATTGGCTCCAGCGGTGGCCTTGCCCTGTTGTGGAAGAAAGAAGTATCTGTTAACATCCTGGACTCGTCACCAAACTTCATAGACACAAAAATCGAAGCAAAAGGGAAAACCTTTTTCCTCACCCTCCTCTACGGACCTCCTCAGAAGGAAAATAGAGCCAACTTCTGGGAGAAACTAACCCTCCTTGGGAATGACAGGAAAACTGCTTGGTGCCACACGGGTGACTTCAATGAAATCCTAGAAAACGCAGAGAAGGTGGGAGGACCAGCAAGAGGTGAAGGATCCTTCATTCCATTCTGAAGCTTTGTCTCCCAAACCGGCCTCTGGGACATAAAACATAGCGGGAACCCCCTATCTTGGCGAGGTCAGAGACACAATCACTTCATCCGAGCCAGATTGGACAGAGCAATGGCCAACTGCGAGTGGTCTGACCTCTTCCTCTCAGGGCATTGTGAGTACCTCCGGTTCGAGGGATCAGACCATAGGCCCCTCATTACTTTCCTTGACAGAAATAGGGCCAAATGTCAGAAGCTCTTCCGGTTTGACAGAAGACTAAGATCGATGGAAGGGGTAAGAGAAGTAGTTGAAAAAGCCTGGCTTCCAGAAAAACCAGAATCAGTAGCCTGCAAAACAAACAGATGTAGAAATGAGCTGATAAAATGGTCAAAGGAAAAGCAAAGAAATAGTGCGAAAACTATAAAAGACCTACAAAGCAACTTGGAAAAAGCCCTCTCAGCACCAACTCCAATTACCCACCTCATTGGGACTCTTTCGACTAAACTGGACCAAGCTTACAAAGAGGAAGAACTGTTCTGGCGCCAGCGAAGCAGAGTCCAATGGCTACAAGGAGGAGACAAGAACTCAGCATATTTTCATGCAGTCACGAAGGACAGAAGAGCGGCAAACCGGATTATTGTAATTGAAGACGATAAGGGTGAAGCAACCTATGATGAAGATCACATAGGCAGAGTCTTCTCATCCTTCTTCCAGGAACTCTTCACCTCTAATGGTACCTCGGATTTTAACAAAGTGTCAGAATCTCTAAATGTAAAAGTCTCACCGGAAATGAATGAAAAACTCATCGCTTTACCTTCTTCTGAGGAAGTTTGCCAGGCAACTTTTGCCACCCACGCAGACAAAGCCCTCGGACCGGATGGATTCTCGGAAGGATTTTACCAATCCTACTGGAACATCATCGGGAACGACATTTGCAGGGAAACCAAACACTTCTTCTGCACGGGAAGCATGGAGCAGAACCTCAACAACACTCATGTCTGTCTTCTCCCTAAGAGCACTGCAGCGAGGAAACCAGCAGATTATCGTTCGATAGCCCTGTGCAACATCCGCTATAAGATCATTGCCAAGATCCTAACCAATAGGCTCCAACCAATCCTCGACTCGATCATCTCTGAACATCAGTCAGCTTTTGTCCCGGGAAGAGCCATTGCGGATAATGTGTTGATCACTCATGAAACCCTGCACTACTTAAAGTCATCAAAGGCGACAAGAAGATGCTCTATGGTAGTAAAAACAGACATGAGCAAAGCTTACAACAGGATAGAATGGGGATTCCTAAGAGAAGTACTACACAAACTGGGCTTTCACCTTACCTTTGTAAACTGGATAATGGAATGCGTCACTTCAGTGTCATACTCTTTCCTCATCAACGGATCCCCCAACGGCAAAGTGCTCCCCACCAGAGGCCTCAGACAGGGTGACCCTCTCTCTCCTTACCTCTTCATCCTCTGCACGGAAGTCCTCTCAGGACTCTGCTCCAGGGCACAGAAGGCAGGAAGACTAAAAGGAATCCAAGTTGCCTGGAGTAGCCCCCACATAAATCATCTACTCTTTGCGGATGACACGCTATTCTTCTGCAGGACAAACGCATCTTGCTGCTCAGAGCTGACCAAAATCCTGAAATCATACGAACGACTCTCGGGTCAACGTATAAACCTATCCAAGTCATCCATCACCTTCTCAGCAAAAACTCCTCATGAAACCCGAGTAAGAGTGATGAGCTCTCTAGGAATTGAAAAGGAAGGCGGATCCGGGAAATACCTGGGCTTACCCGAGAACTTCGGGAGAAGGAAGAAGGATATTTTCACGGGACTGGTAGACCGCATCCGCCAACGAGCACATAGCTGGACCACCAGATATCTCTCAGGAGCAGGTAAGCAAGTTTTACTCCAAGCAGTGCTCGCAGCCCTCCCGACGTACACTATGACTTGTTTCAAGCTTCCCAAATCTTTATGCAAGAAAATTCAGTCCATATTGACCAGATTCTGGTGGGACTCCTCACCTGACAAAAGGAAGATCTCTTGGGTATCATGGTCGAGACTAACACAGCCAAAACGTGCTGGAGGCCTAGGCTTTAGAGAAATCGAAGAGTTCAACGTAGCTCTCCTGGCCAAACAAAGCTGGAAACTCCTGAAACACCAAGGAAGCCTTTTAGCGAGAGTGTTACTAGGCAAATATTGCAATGAGAAAAGCTTCATGGATGTTGAGTGTAAACCTGGAGCATCCCACGGATGGCAAGGAATCCTAGAAGGCAGGTCAGTTCTCAGGAAAGGATTAGGATGGGTAGTGGGGAATGGAAACACCATCAAAGTTTGGAGCGACCCATGGCTTTCTATCTCAACCCCACAAGCGCCTTATGGCCCTCCTACAAAAGAGAATGCAACCCTGTTAGTCCAAGACCTGCTCCATCATGAAACAAATGAATGGAATGTGGAAGCAATACAAGCTATATTACCTCAATATGAGGAACTGATCAGACAAATCATACCAAGTTCCCGGAAACCGGAAGACTCGCTGGTCTGGCTGCCTGCAAAATCAGGACTATTCTCAACTAAAACAGGATATAATCTACAAAAGAGGTTTAATCTACTTGGAGATCCAGAATTCAGTTGGTACCAATTCATCTGGAACCTCCACACGCCACCAAAGATCAAACACTTCCTGTGGAGAGCTTCAAGCGGGGCCCTACCAGTAGGAGTCATTCTTTCTAGGCGAGGAATCGAAGCAAACACCTCCTGCCTGCGTTGTGGCTTGACAGAATCAATCGCCCATATCTGGTGGGAGTGCCCCTTTGCACAATCAGTCTGGTCTCAAACCCCCATCTCTCCGAGCCCATCCTCAATTGCAGTGAATCCAGACCCACGAAGCATCCTCCGAGCGCTCTACAAAACCAAGAACATCCCGGTTACAGGAGTAACGATAACCCCGATCTATCCCTTGATTCTCTGGTTCTTCTGAAAAGCACGAAACAAGCTCGTCTTTGAAGCAACAAGCACAGGAAGTCAAGACCTGGTGACGAAAACTCTAGTCGAAGCCCAACTCTGGCAAACAGCACACCAGTGAGACCCAACCAAAGACCAATCAAGCAGCGAGACACTACCCTCTCTGCCCCTCAGCCTCGATCTGCTTCTCAGACGGAGCTTGGAATGCTGCGGATAAGACGGGGGGCATGGGATGGACCCTCCAAGACCCATCGGGCTCCCTGTTACTCCAGAACTCCTCGGCAAGACGTTTCACAGCATCTGCTCTGGTTCCAGAAGCATTAGCCATCCTCGGGGGTTTAAGAGAAGCTATAGCACTAGGAATCAGAGATCTCCACATGCATTCGGACTCGGAAATCCTCATCAACATCCTCTCAACAGGATCAGAGATGATCGAGATTGCAGGCATTCTTGACGACATCAGAAGCCTTGCCTCTCGCTTCACCTCCCTTTCTTTTAGCCATATAGGCCGTAAAGATAACGTATCAGCAGACAGGCTTGCTAAGGCAGCCATTTTAGCTATAGGCCTACTGGGCCGTGTATGAACATCTTTTATTAATGCATCGGTTGACCAAAAAAAAAAAAAAAAATTGGTCTACATCAGTTTTTATATCAAACCAAAAATTATTAAGTATAACTAAAAAATTAAAAGTTAATTTAACAAATTATGTCCAACAAAAAAAAGTAAATTCAATCTGACTGATTCAAATCAACATATTTATTAAATCAAAAAATGTTAATATGGTTTAAAATTTTAAAAGTTAAATAAAAAATTAACAATTAACAATACATGTATAAAAAAAGTAACCATTATCAATTATCAATTTAAAAAAGTCTACAACAACTCGATTTAACAATTAAAACAATGAAAACTGAATAAAATATAAACATAAAACTCTTGGAAGACATGATGGAGAAGGAAAAAATAGTTTTGCATGATCATTACAGCTTCCTAACAAAATTAAATTCGAATCAACATGAATCATGGATTATATATACAGTGGTACACAACATCAATAAGACTTTCAATAAAAACTAAATATTTGAACACATAAACCTTCAAGAAAAAAAGAACTATAGAAATTCTATGGAAAACAGAAAATAATACCAAAATCTTAGCAAGATTGTATTTCTCTAAATCAAATGTATATGTATGTCAAAGTTGGATAATTCGATATGTGTCATTGTTATTATTTTACCTAATAGTTTTTAAAAATTTATAAATAAAAGGATAAATTACACATTATAAATTAAATTCTCTTATATAAATGAATATTTTTATAAATATATATATAATTTTTAATAATTTTAAAGATAATAGCTAAAAAAATAAACCAAAATATTAATACAGTTGATGCTAAATGTCTCTAAGGGTGTCCACATAAGATTTAAAGATTCAATTCTATTACTACACATCATCATTATTTTTAGTTAATTATATATTGCATATTAAAATTAATTAATCCGTTTTAATTGTTATAAGGAAAATTCCTAAATTTCAATTAATTTTTTTTTGTTGTTATTAGGAAAGTTTCTAAATTTTAAGTTAGTTATTAATAAAAAAGAGTTTTAAAAATAGATCTTATTTTTCTATTAACAATAAAAATGTAAATTAACATATAAATAGGTTATGAAAGAAAAATTAAATATATTTAACAAAATAATTGAAAACTGGTTTTGAAACCAAAATTAAATTAACAAACAATTAAAGTCTAAACTGCTAACTTAAAATATATTAGTTATGGTCCGTGTTGATGTCTTAGGTCAATGAGAGCGTCCACATATGACATATATACTCAATCTGATTAGTATATATCAACGTTTTTTATTAAACATAAAAAATAAAAATAATATTAATAATTTAAATAAATTAAAACATACAAAAATATAAAATTATCACAATAGAATGGAAAATTAAGATAATTTTTTAACTAAATAAAATAAATTTATGTCAAAAAACTAAATCTATTGTGAAAATAAAATAGAAACTCATTATCACAAAAACTAAACTAACAAAAACAAATATGTAAATCAATAACGAAAAGGTTAAATTATAAAAATATTAGCATATATATAATAAATGAATAATTTATTTAGAAAAAAATATTAAGATTAAATTTTCATATTAATATATAAAATTGTTATTTAAAAATATCAATACTACCAAAAAAACATTCATCTTAAATTATCAAAAAAGAAAGTCATCTAAAAGTTATAATTTTTGGGGAAATATTTAAAAAATTAACACAAAAATCTTAACAAACCAAAATGATATTTTATACTAATTACTGAAGAAAGCAATATAAGAAAATGTTTAACTAACAAAAACCAATACATAAATTATTCTTTAGAACATGTCAATACAATTAAAATGAAAATTCATATCGGGAAAGTTAAATTAACAAAAAGAGGATATTAACTTAATATCTATGTTATTTATTTAACAAAATCAATATAAACAGAATAAGAAAGGAAATTAAAAAATTTAAATAATACTAAAAAATTTAACTAACAAAAATAATATAAATATTTAAGCTAATTATTTAAGAAATCAATATTAAGAAATTAATTAACTAAAAAAATAAAACGAAAATTAAGTTTTACAAAATATTATTTTTTTTAAAAACACTTAAAAATATATTGACTTGATATGTGACTAACTACTTAAAAAATTCATAAAAAATATTTAATTAACAAATAATTTATGTTTTTAAAATATTACAAGATTGAAAAGAATGCATTCCAAGTGAGATGTCGAAGATCAAAGGAACGAGGGGAAGAATCGACGAGGAATCAATAAGAGGTGTGTTAAAATAAAATAAAATAAAAATATCAGGAGAGGTAAATTATCAAAGAAAAAAGTCGTATAAAATAAAATTAGCTTGATATTTCGGCTAACTACCAAACAAATGTTAACTAAAAAAACAAATGATGGTATAAGCTTTTGAGAGAAGTTCACTTAAAATTTAGATAAACAGTTATAGCATGTAAGAATAGCATATTAATTAATTTAAAAGGTAAATTTAACAAAGAAAAAACATTTAGATTAATATATATGCTACCTATTTGAAAAATTAATAACAAAAGAGATTAATTAAAAATATATATGTTTTAAGTATATCAAACATGCAGAAAATTAGATAATTAAAATAAAATATAAAATTACCATCGAAGATATTTAAAATAACAAAAACAAGATCTAAGAAGAAAATTAGTTTGAAATATAGTTCCAAAAACATTCATAATTTCTAAAATATTGGTGTTTACTATGAATAACCATATAAAGTTTTAATAGGTTATACAAGTTTCTAAATCAAACATATTATTTAAATTTACAAAGATTAATACATTGGTTGCGTCTGGTTAGAAAATTAACAAAGTAAAATACTACACAAGTAAATTTATATTCAAAATATAATAAATAATAGAGTCTGATTTATATACATATTTACTGCTTATAACTTAGTCAACATGAACAATACATGAGCAACATCCTCTAAAATTTTATTTAAATAATATAATAGGCCAAAGTTATAAATCAAATTCAAATGAAAATATATGAAGATAAAATATTCAAATCAAAACATGAATAAACACACAAAAGATTAAAAAAAAACGGTAATAATGTGAAGTCTCAACATCATCTTACATGTTTAAATATAAATATTAGCAAATAGTTAACTGCAAATAAAACAGATCTTATAAACTGAATAGAGATATAACCTAAAATTCGGAGAAGATCTGGTGGAGAAGCAAAAAGCAGCTTTACACGATTAGTGTAGCTTACTCACAAAAGTAAATCTGAATCAATATATATCATATATTATATATGTATATGTACACAATATTAGTGAGATATTTAGTAAAGAAACTAAATATTTAAACATATAAAAAAATTTTAAAAAAAAAGAACCAAAAAAATCCTAAGGATACAAAACGAAACACCAAAAATTTAGTAAGAAAACCATATATCTAAATCAAACATATGCACATCAAAGTTGGATAATTCGTTAGGTGTCATTACTATGATTTTACTTAATAAGATTTATAATTTTATAAACAAAAATATGAAATATTACATATTATGTTTAAATTTTTTTATATAAAAGAAAATTTCTATAAATATATTATAGTTTTGATAATTTAAAAGATATTAGACAAAAAATTAAACCAAATTATTAATACAGAATTGCGCATAGCGCGAGTTAAAAGTCTAGTTAGCATATAAAAATCCCATGCAAATAAGTTTAGAACGAGAAACGACAATCAAATAAAATCCAAACTACAACATATTATCATAATTTTTTTGTAAAGCTTTAACTTCTAAGTTGGCAAAACAAATGCCCAATTTTTATTTGACGGTGCAAAATTAGACTTGTGAAAAGCCAACATTAACGGTGATTTTTTACATGTAATATTAATCTCGAATGTTACAAATATTTTGTTAATAATATGATTGAGAGATCTAGAATGTTCCTAAATTAACATTATAGAATCGATTCACTACCTATTTTGTTTATGAAATATCTCTACTACTGTATATATGTGTGTGTGTGCTATGAAATTTCAACTGAAACCCTAACTTTCATCCTATTTATTCGTTAGTTTCGATTGTAAAAAGGATTATTAAAGAATAAAGTTAAAAATGTGTGTGATTCAGATTCTCCACATGGAAGCACTTCTAAACAATGAAAAGAAAACTTTGAAAATTTTCTCAAGTGACAAAACCTTTCCTTTTTTTGGGACAGAAGAACATTTGTTACCGTGCAATTTTTAGAAATTCGAAATCTCCGCGAGTTGCATGCATTTAATTTGATCAAATGATTTGTTGATCAAATAGTTTGATCTGACAAACCAATAAATTTGAAACCGGAATAGAAACCCAACCGGATAATCTATCGTATCGTGGTTTAATTTGGTTTCAACGGATTAGACTCGGTCTGATTAAGGAAAGCCAATTCATTTGCGAGTACGCAGGTAAACATTACATTACCCCCAAATGTCAAGAACCATTTTGATTTGATAATCGAATTGATCGCTTTATTGCAAAATTTGATAGATTGTGGATGATTTTATCTAGGAGGTTGAATAATAATCTCAAGATTACATGATTAGAGTACGTGATTAGAACAATTTCGGTTTCAGAATAGTGTAGTGATCTTTTAATTGTAAACTTTGATAGGATTTGGAACATATGTCTTAAAATTTGAATATTAGGCTCAAGATTTCATATGATTAGATGAACATTAGCATTAGCCATTAGGCTCAAAAGCACAAGATTTTGATGATTTAGCTCGGTGAATTGGGATTCAAGGAGCTTAGCATTACCATTTATTTATATTTCTTGAAAGTTGAAGACAGTTCAAAGAATCTATCGTGAACAAATCACGAGCTTCGATTGAAGATACGTATTCAAATTCAAATATTTCTCGGTTTAGGTCCGATGAAATCAACCGCAAAGAAAATAGAGAGGATATGTTGGTGAACAACAAGATTCAAGAAAATGGGAGAACGAAGAAGAAGAAGAAATAAAAGAATATGATATTGATGAACAGTGTTACATCATCTTGTTTATATAGGACCGGTTTACATCAAACTAATACCGGTTCACTTTAGTCTAATAGCAACAATGCTTCGAGGTAAAATTAAGAAAAATAACAAAAGATTTTATTTATTTATTTATTATTATCAAATAGGAGAAAATGATCAAATAAAATCCCAAATAAAGCAAATTACCATAAAAAAAGGATTCTAAGTCGGCAAAACAAAAATCCAATTTTTATATGGCGGTGCAAAATTAGACTTGTGAAAAGCCAACATTAGTCGGTGATTTTTTTACATGTGTAATTAACATATTTATTATAGAGAGATACACTAAATATTTTGTTAATAATATCATTGAGAGATCTAGAATGTTCCTAAATTAATATTTCCATTTTGTTTAGGAAATACCTCGACTATATATACTATATATGTGGGCTTCTGTATTGTTGTAGTTACTACTAAAAAAGTAAAAACCCTACCTCTCATCTTGTTCCTTATTCTCTTCCTCCGCCGTAATTTGTTGTCATCTTTCTTTCTCAGTCGTTCCCATCGACACCATGGCCGCCGGAGAAGGACAACAAATCATGGCTCTCATCAGCAAACGCCTCCGTTCTCTCCGCAAGAAACACAACCGAATCACTGGTTTCGAGGAGTCGGTTTCTCAGGGGAAAACCCTAAACAAGGATCAAGAAGAAATCGTCCGCTCCAAGCCAGTCGTCACTGCCCTAATCCAAGAGCTCGAAAAGCTCCGCCTTCCTCTTGCTCCTCCCGCCGCCTCCGCTGCTGTGCCCAAAGAGATCATCCTCTCTGCTCCGAAAACCCAACAGCCAAAGGTATATATATACTCCGGTTTAATTTTTGATTAATTAGTTAGGAAATCTAGGGTTTTTTTTCTAGGGTTTTAAAACCATAATCAAATCTTAACCTAATTGTTTTTCTTTTTTTCCTTAGGAGATCGTTGCTGTTGTGGAAGAGGTGATGGCGACCAAGACGGATTTCAAGATCCCTGATGGTCTCAGTGAGGTTTCGAAGGACGATTCTTGCTCCGTCTGTAGCGGATGCTCACGGGGTGTTACGCCATCTCCAGCATCGGAAACCGTCGAAGAGGAGAAGGTCGAAGAGGAGAAGGTCGAAGAGAAGAAGGTCGAAGAGGAAGAGGGGCCATGGATAGAGGTTGTTAGGCGACGACGTAGAGCTCCATCTCAAGAAGCACCTCAAGGAGCACCGCGAGGACGAGGCGGCCGTGGCGGTCGAGGCGGTCGAGGCGGACAACATTATAATCGGCAACCGAGACGCCCGGCTTCGAGTTGATTGTCTTTGCCAATAAGCGGTCTCGGACTTGCGTTTGATTGTGTTTGCCAATAAGCGGAAGTTCGGTTCTCAAGAAAATTGAAGGGATTTGTTGGCTTGGTGTCACTAGCAAACTCCTTTGGAATTTTCTACTATCTTTTTTGATTCGTTTCGATTGCAAATTTTGTTTAATTTGATGTTTACCTTGCTTTTTTTTAATGAAAAAAAAGATTTTATCATATCATCTATAGTTATCAAAATTAACAACTGTTCTAATGGAACAATTCAACATCCAATTTACATAAAAACCATAACAGCATCACTCACACTATTCAACAACCTTCGGCATTATTTTTTCTTAACTAATTTTACAAAAATTCATCAATAATTAAAAATAGAATGACATATTCAATAATTAAAACCAAAGTATTTTACAAAAACTCCTCTATTTTTTTTTTTTGTGAAAATTCATAAACTCCTCTTTTATTCAGCTAATTGGGCTTATGTCATTTGCAGCCCATGTTTAGCAGATTCGCCACTTAAAGCCCGACAAAATAAATTGGCGGTAATCCCAATTAGCTATTTTTACATACAAATTCATCAATAATAAAAAGAAGAATAACATATGCAAGAATTAACTCCTCTATAATACAGCTAATTGGGCTGAACATTCACAGCAGCCCATGTTAAGCGAATTGGTCTAAAGCCTGAAAAATAAAATGGCGGTAATCCACATCATCAATCCGATGTTTTCCCGGGTGAGAAGAAAAACACATATCTAACGTCCCTCTCAGCCGTTGATTTAGATATTAAATTTTATCAATCCAACGGACAAAGAAAATCACACGTCATCGATCCTAGTAAATTACTCTTACCCAATAGAATCCGTAAGTTCCTCCTTCTTAATATCTCCAGACGCTTCCGAATTTTACTTCATCGCAAACCTAAATTTCTCATTCCTTTTCCCGAGAAAGTCATCGAGAGAGAAAGAGAGAAATTCACGATGGCACCAAAGGCAGGAAAGAAGCCAGCAGAGAAGAAGCCCGCCGCCGCCGAGAAGCCAGCGGAGGAGGAGAAAGTAGCCGAGAAAGCTCCAGCGGAGAAGAAACCCAAGGCCGGGAAGAAGCTACCGAAGGAAGCCGGCGGCGCAACGGACAAGAAGAAGAAGCGCACGAAGAAGAGCACCGAGACGTACAAGATCTACATCTTCAAGGTGCTGAAGCAAGTCCACCCAGACATCGGGATCTCGAGCAAAGCCATGGGGATCATGAACAGCTTCATCAACGATATCTTCGAGAAGCTTGCTCAGGAGGCGTCGAAACTCGCCAGGTACAACAAGAAGCCGACGATTACTTCTCGCGAGATCCAGACTGCTGTTAGGCTTGTTCTTCCCGGTGAGCTCGCTAAGCACGCCGTCTCTGAAGGAACTAAGGCTGTGACTAAGTTTACTAGCTCTTGAATGGAGGATTTCGATCTAGGGTTAAGGAATCTATGCGATGGTTTTAGTTTTTTTTTGCTCTTAGGATCAAGATCTGGGCTTTTATTTTCGTCTTTTGGTGTTTAGTTTGGTAATCGGATGGATTATGCTTCTCTTAGCTTTATGATTTGGATGTAATTGATGAAGAACATATGGTATCAATCGTTTCTTTTGAAGTAGTTTCACAACTTTGATCTCAATAATTTGTGTTTCTCGTTTAACCTAAGGTTTGAAGATTCTATAATGCTTATTGACATTTTGGTTATATTACGAATTGATAACATCACTAGATCGGTTGAATTTGGGCATTAATTTCATACAATTACTCTGATAATTAATCCGTGATTTGCCAATGAATCAATCTTAAGAATTAGTTAATTTGTCTTAAGCCTCAGACAAGTAAATAAAGATTTGACACACAAGGTTTGTAGGTTCTATGATGCCTATTGAAATTTTGATTTGGTTGGATGATAATTTTATATTACGAATTGATAACTTTACTAGATCGGTTGAATTAGGGCAATAATTCCATACAATTTCTTTGATAATTACTCCGAAATTTATCAATTAGTCGATCTTAAGAATAAGTTAATTCGTCTTAAGCCGTAGACAAGTAAAATAAAGATTTTGACAAAAAGAGAGATCTTTAGGAAATTATAGTTTTTAAATGACCTAATTAGTATTAACCTCACCTGTCAAATTTGTCAAAATTAAGTAAATAGTTATTGCATTGAGGTCGGTAATTAGTGGCATCACTAACTTGTTAAAAACTACTGCCACATACATCTTGATACAGTCAAAGCCACAAACTTTACAACAATTAAAAAAACAAATCTACTTTTTTACTCTCATAATCATTGTAAATTCTAATGACTCACAATTTTCACAACCCTTCAATATCGTCATCTGCTCTACTAGATTAGTGTGTTGCGCTGGACATTTCTCTGTCGTTGGTTAGTTAGGTGATATATAATCAATAAAACTCCATCACTACTACAATATCATTTATTTTCCATATATTTGTAATTAAATCTTGGCTAAACAGAGGGTAAAAACGTAATTTCAATAGCAGTTCGCTAAACGTGCAAGCGTCCTCTCTCCCACCACTCTCTTCTTCTTCATCACACGCAGTAATCGCATCTTTTCTTTTTGGTTTTCTTCTTCTTCTTCTACATTTCGGTTATCGCACCACTGTGTAAACCAAAATCTCACTCAAATAGCTTTCCTCTACAAACTAATCGTCGAATTGTTGATGTGCTATCGTCTCCGATGGAGCCAATTCTTCGGAAAATCTCGACGCCATGGCCGATTCTCGTCCAAGCCGCCACGTGGACATTGTTATTAATGTTAACGGTGGCGTTAGCGTCTTTCGCTCCGGAGATGGCGTTTGTGTCTACATTGTCGTCGCCATCTTCAAATCTCTGCGGCGGCGGAGAAGGAGGAAGAGATGGATTCGTGAGGATTCCGATTGATTTTCCGGGAGAGATAGTGTGCGTACCGTCTCAAATGGTGAAGCGATCATCACTCGACCTTTTTGTGCCGACGATCTTCGCCGGAGTTATGGTCTTTGCATCAGTTTCTCTAATTCGGTCGTGTTTCGGAATCGAACATGACTCTTAGAAGGCTATAGAGCTTCTCGTGACACGATGCGTTAATAATCAGTAATATAGCTTTGAATCTACAGTTTTAACAACAAGGGTCCTTAGCTCAGTGGTAGAGCAATTGACTGCAGATCAATAGGTCACCGGTTCGAATCCGGTAGGGCCCTTCCTTTTTCTTATCCTTATATTTTTATATTGTTATTGATCATGGATTATCTGATCTGACGGTTGTTAATACATCATTGCAAGTTTCACATGGATTGATGACATGGCAGATAGTTCTAATACCGCTAAGATTTTTGGTTTTAATTTAGCCGCCTTGGTGTGGCGCCGAACGAGTAATGAAAAAAGAGGCAACAAGAACCAATTTTTACAACAAAAAAAAAAAATGTATAGAGTTTTTTAATTCAATTCAATTCAAATACAATTTCACAATCGTGATGTTTTTCTAAAAATATCGTAACACGTTTGCCTTGTCAAAGCTTATGCTCATCACATTTTGCTTCTAAACCAAAGATTCGTAACTTACTTTTTGAAATACCTTGAAGCGAAATAAGCATCTGATTACACAAATTAATGTGTCTTGTAACCAAAACTTGAAATTATTCAACTCAGTCGCTTCGTTATGTATTTAATTTAGATCTTCAGAAGCAGATTGATAAACTCAAGCTCGGATTCAATCCTTAACATCAATTGTATTTTGTGATTTGTGATAATTACTTTCAATTAAACTCGTCATAACAAAAGATCTGAAGAGAAATCGTACTATCATTAATAAGAGAAATTTGTTACGGAATTGCAATTACCGAAAACCCTAATTACAAAGCAAAACATAAGAAAAGAAAAGAAGAAAAAAAAAGTAGAACTAAATCCCTAAAAAACCATCCCCTTCTTCTAGATTTCTTGACCGCAAGACTTAATTCGGCAAAAACAAACACCAGAAAATTCAAATCAAATCAAAAGCAATCGAGGATTCTTAGCCACCGAATCCGTAAAGAGTGCGTCCTTGCCTCTTCAAAGCGTAAACCACATCCATTGCAGTAACCGTCTTCCTCCTCGCGTGCTCGGTGTAAGTCACGGCGTCTCTGATAACATTCTCGAGAAAGATCTTCAAAACTCCTCTGGTTTCCTCGTAGATCAAGCCGCTGATTCTCTTCACGCCTCCTCTACGAGCGAGACGCCTGATCGCAGGCTTCGTGATTCCCTGGATATTGTCTCTCAGAACTTTCCTGTGTCTCTTCGCTCCTCCCTTTCCCAATCCCTTTCCTCCTTTTCCTCTTCCTGACATTTTTTTTTCCTGGAAAATTTAGGGTTTTCTCGCGAATCGAAAGAAAAAGAAACTTAGATGATTGGGTTTTTAGTTTTCAGATTGTGTATTGACCGGAGCGAGGATATTAAGGTTTATAAAGAAGACTACTGATCTCAGAAAATAAATCAGAGCCGTTCGATTCATTATTTTATCGTACGGTTAAGGATAGCGATCCGAGTGAATGTTTAAAAATTAATATAAATCGTTGATTATTAATGAATCGACGGCGGTGAATGGCTTTTTTAAGTACTCAGGGATTGTGCTCTTTGGGAAGTAGTATTTGTTTTTCTTCTTTTTCATTTGTTGAGAGTGTTCTGGTTTGGAGCATTTTAAATGAACCAGTGAGTTAACCGAACCGGTTAAGGATGTATATTTTTCATCTGAAATGAAGTAACGTCGTTTCTCTGTTTTGTGTAACTTAAAGACTCCATTGATATATTACTATTTAGTAAAACTCCATTGATATGACTCATTTTTAATTGATCACATTCTCATTATAACACCAAAAAAAAAAAAAAAAAAGTAGTAAGCATCACTCTCTAAAAATGTTCCTCGTTAGAACATCTTTATTCCCAACAAAACTCAAAATGCTTTTAGCAAAAACAAAAAAAACTCAAAATGCGAAAAAGATAAAAGAAACACACACAATTCAATGAAATTAACAAAAACATTTTCTTTCCTCTCTCTTGGTTTTCTTGGAAATAAATTGTCACTTCTTGACAACTCCAAGCCTGAGACGAAAATCTTCTTCCATAAGAGGAAGCCCTTCACGTAGCTTCACCGTTGGTTCCCAACCAAGAACTTGTTTAGCTTTGGTTATGTCCGGTTTCCTCTGCTTCGGATCATCTGGTGTGTTCTCCACCATCCTTATCTCCACGTCCGGTTTAATAAGCTGTATCAGAATTTTCATTTACTTACAATTGTTACAACTATAAATCAATATTTATGTGAAATTATATATAACAATGTAGACAAAGACCAACCTCTTTAACCGTCTCAGCGAGCTCAACCATCGTGAATTCTCCCGGATTGCCTATATTAATTGGTCCGGTTTGGTCTCCTTCCATTAGACGCATTAGACCGTCCACCTATCAAACCAATTTTGGACTATGTATCATTTTTATTAGAGAAAATTTGGGTTTATACTCCGAAATTAGGGTATATATTTGAAAACTACACCACTATCAAAAAGTGGGGTTAACTAAAAAGGGTAGTTTTCAAATTTAAGTTTCTATCTAAGGTATTTTGTTAGATAGAAAATACATTTTAAGTTTCACTATATAGTATGGTGATACAACCAAAGGTACATAACTCTCACGATACATACCATGTCCGAAACATAACAAAAACTGCGTGTTTGTGTTCCCGGTTTCTGAACAGTTAAAGCTTCTCCCCTGCAAAACCAAAACCGGGTTTATGTTCCCGGTTTAATTAACATTAGTGAAAAATTCAACCCAAAATTTACCCGGTTTAATTATCACAAAATTCAAGAAACTCGATTGAGATTATTTTCACCTGAGAGCCTGAGCGATGAAGTTGCTCACGACACGACCGTCGTCAATATTCATACGTGGACCATACGTGTTGAATATCCTCGCTATGCGTATTTCTAAAATGATGCGATAACAATAGTAACTAAATCAAACCAAAATATTAAACACGACCGTCGTCAATATTCATACGTGGACCATACGTGTTGAATATCCTCGCTATGCGTATTTCTAAAATGATGCGATAACAATAGTAACTAAATCAAACCAAAATATTAAACCAAAGTTTTCAAGAAAATGGAAAAATATATTAATTAATTTACCAATGCCATGTTGCCTATGGTAATCAAACATCAGTGTCTCTGCTACACGTTTTCCTTCATCGTAACAACTTCTAACACCTACATTCATATCCAATTGTGTTACTTGTTAATCAATAGCTAAGCGATTATTAACGATTAATCGGTATAATTACTTACCGATCGGGTTTACATTTCCCCAATAGCTCTCGGTTTGAGGGTGAACAAGAGGATCACCATACACTTCAGATGTGGAAGTAAGCAAAATTCTTGCTCCAACTCGCTTAGCTAGTCCTAACATGTTTAGTGTGCCAATCACATTTGTTTTCATCGTCTGCCATTAAACACATATAAAGACATAATTAATAAAAACTAATTAATCAAGTTTAGATTAAGGAAATTTTAACAAACCTTAACAGGATTGTGTTTGTAGAAAATTGGAGATGCAGGACATGCTAAATGGTAGATATGATCAACCTCGACCAACAGAGGTTCAGTCACATCTAAAGGAAAAAAAAAAGGAGTTATTTAAAGCATTGTTTTAAAAGTAATTAAGGAGACTAAGAAGAAGATTATTACCATGACGAATGAGCTCAAATCTTGGATGACCAATCCATTTCTTGAGATTATCTTTTGATCCTGTGAAGTAATTATCAGCGACGATTACTTCATTCTTTTCGTTTTGCATCAATCTATCAACGAGATGTGAACCAATAAATCCAGCTCCTCCTGTTACCAAGATCCTCATATTCGACTGCATATTCAAAATCATTCAACATATCAATTTAAAGTTTTCAACTATCAAATCCATTTAGCTGAGACTGAGATCTACACAAAATGAGTTTCAACTTAACACTTTGATCTTAAACGTAACAACACTTTAAAGTAAAGTCTTGACTGCATTCAAAAACTCAATTAAACAAAAAAATTTAGGGATTATAAAGGAATATTTTGAGTGAATTAACCTGAAAAAACTTGGAATTACGCAGAGGAGAAGGCGTCGGTGGTGGCTTCGTCGTCGTTCCGTTGGTCGCCATTTCTGCAAAATTTATATCAAATTCAATAAAACCATAATCACAGATTTATCAAAATAATATATACACATGCAGTTACATAAACAATCCCAAGGATTAGAGAATTAGTCAAACCTGGTGATTAGCAGTAAGAAGCTTGATGAAACGAAAACTATACACAATCACTCTTCTGATCTCGATGATACTACACGATCAATATTAAATCGATATTTATAAGCAGATATTATTTATTATAAAAAACATATGAAACATGAAGATGAGAGTCCCACAAAATTTGTTAACTACGCCAAAAAGAAACATGGAAAATAAAATATAATTCCCTACCAGAAAAATCGAAGCTTCAAAAGAAAGAAAAGTGAGAGGAATAATCAAAATGACTGAACTGCACCAAACCCCAAATTTTAATATGGTTCACCAAACGTCGCTTACGAATGAAGTTTTTGACAAAAAAAATATTTAAATCTCTTTTTATATCAAGAAAGGGAATGAGAAAGATGAGAAAGGAAAAGAAAACAAAGACTCAAAGAGTTTTGACTTTTCACTATTGTCGACTACAGTCTAAAATTGAGCAAGGGAGACGCTATAAATTATGGTTTTGACAATTGTACATAGACACTTTTTTTTCTTTTTTTCTTTTGACCGATTGTATAGATCTTAAATTTCGAGATTTGAGACTCGATTAAACAAAACTTGTGGGATTATTAAAAGAAAAACAGAATATTGTATTATTTTATATGTTGACGGGAGTTTGCGTGAGGTATGCGCAGGAATCAGACCATATAATGCGGTAAAGGAATTTATCTATCGCATCTTTTTTATAAAAAATATTATTCTCAATTTATCGAAAATTTGTTTGGATTAAGTAGTTTTTTTTTGGTTGAAGGGATATTTTATAAATCATTTACTAGAATTGTTCAAACTATAAAATCAACATAACCAAAAGGTTCACTACATTAACTAAACCAAGAATATAAACGAAACAAGATAAAATCATCATCATCATATCTATTACTAATAAAAGTTGATACTAAATATATCTAAAAGTGTCCACATAGAATTTAAATATTCAATTCTATTGGTACACATCATCAATTATATTTAGTTAATTATATATTATATATTAAAATTAATTAATTCGTTTTAATTGTTATAAGAAAAATTTCTAAATTTTAATTCTATTGATACACATCATCATTATATTTAGTTAATTATATATTGTATATTAAAATTAATTAATTCGTTTTAATTGTTATAAAGAAATTTTCTAAATTTTAATTAATTTCATTTTTGTTATTATTAGGAAAGTTTCTAAATTTTAAGTAATTAATTTTGTTTTTGTTATTATTAGGAAAGTTTCTAAATGTTAAGTTAGTTATTAATAAAAAATAGTTTTGAAAATAGATCTTATTTTTCTATTAACAATAAAAATTAAATTAACATATAAATAGATTATGAAAGAATAATCATATATATTAAACAAAATAATTAAAAACTATATTTAAAACCATAATTAAATTATTTTAAAATTTTAATTATGACAAACAATTAAAATCTGAACTGCTAACTTAAAATATATTAGTTGTGGTCCGTGTTGATGTCTTAGGCCAATTAGAGCGTCTACATATGACATATATTCTTAATCTGATTGGTCTATAGCAGTGTTTTTCATTAAACATAAAAATATTAAATATTATTAATAATTTAAATAAATTAAAATATACAAAAATATAAAATTATCATAGTATAATGAAAAATTAAGATAAATTTTTTTTAACTAAATAAAATACATTTTTGTCAAAAATTCAAACCTATAACATTTGTCAAAATAAAATAAAAACTCATTGTCACAAAAACTAAACTAACAAAAATAAATATTTAAATCAATAACAAAAAAGTTTAATTAAAAAAAAGAAAAAATTTAGTACATATATTTTAAATGAGTAATTTATTTAGAAAAACTATTAAAATTAAATTTTTATATAAACATATAAATTTGTTATTTGAAAATATCAATACTACCAAAAAACATATTCATGTTAAATTAACAAAATAAAAAGTCATCTAAAATTTGATATTTAGCGTAATTATTTAGAAAATTAACCCAAAAACTTTACTAACCAAAAATGATACTATATGCTAACTACTGAAAAAATCAATATTAAAAAAAAATAACAAAAAACATAAATTATTTCTTGCAACATGTAAATATAATTAAAATGAAAGTCTGTAACGAAAATGTAAAATTAACAAAAAAAAAACATTAACTTGATATCTATGTTATTTATTTAACAAAATCAATATGAACAGAATAAGTAAGAGAATAAAAAAAACTTAAGTAATACTAAAAAACTTAACTAACAAAAATAATATAAATATTTAAGCTAATTATTTAAGAAATCAATATTAAGAAATTAATTAACTAAAAAACTAAAACGAAAATTAAGTTTTACAAAATGTTAAATTATTAAAAAAACATCTAAAAATATATTGACTTGATATCTGATTAACTATTTAAATAATCTATATAAAACATTTAATTAACAAAAAAATGAAATTATGTCTTCAAAATACCAATATTTTCAAAACAATCATGTGTTAAACTAAAATAAAAATCAATATTAAGAGAGGTAATTATGAAAGGAAAAAGTCGTATAAAAGAAAATTAGCTTGATATTTAGACTAACTACCAAAAATATTAACTAAAAAAGCAAATGATTGTATAATCTTTTGAGAGAATTTAATATAAAATTTAGAATAACGAGTTATTGCATGTCAAATAGCATTTTAATTAATTTAAAAAGTAAATTTAACAAAGAAAACACATTTATGTAAAAGATATTAAATTAATATATATGTTACCTATTTAGGAAATCAATAAGAAAGGAGATTAATTAAAAAATATATATGTTTTAAGTATATCAAACATGCAAAAAATTAAATAATTAAAATAAAATATAAAATTACCATCGAAGATATTTAAAATAACAAAAAACAAGATCTAAGAAGAAAATTAGTTTGAAATTTAGTTCCAGAAAATTCATGATTTCTAAAATATTGGTGTTGACTATGAATAACCATATAAAGTTATAGTAGGTTATACAAGTTTATAAATCAAACATATTATTTAATTTTATAAAGATTAATACATTGGGTGCATCTGGTTTAAAAACTAACAAAGAAAAATAATACACAAGTAACTATACATTCAAAATATAATAAGTAATAAAGTCTTATTTGTATATATAGTTACTGCTTATAACTTAGCCAACATGAAAAACACATGGGCAACATCTTCTAAAATTTCTTTAAATAAAAAAATATGACAAAGTTATGAATCAAATTCAAATGAGAATATATGTAGATAAACTATTCAAATCAAAAGATGAATAAAACACACAAAATATAATAAACAAAACAGTGATAATGTGAAGTCTTTACATCATCTTACATGTTTAAAAACAAAAATTAACAAATAATTGACTGCAAATAAAACATCTTATAAACTGAATAGATATATAACCTAAAATCCGTAAAAGATCTGGTGGAGAAGCAAAAAACAGCTTTACACGATTATTGTAGCTTACTAACAAAAGTAAATCTGAATCAACATATATCATATATCATATATGTATAGGTACACAACAAAAAAAAAACTATAGAAATCCTTAGGATACAAAACAAAACACCAAAAATTTAGTAAGAAAATTATTTTCTAAATCAAACGTATGCACATCGAAGTTGGATAATTTGTTAGATGTCATTACTATGATTTTACTTAATAAGATTTATAATTTTATAAACAAAAAATAGGAAAAATACATATTATGTTTTTTTTTATATAAACGAATTTTTTATAAATATATTATATTTTTAATAATTTAAATGATATTAGCCAAAACAATTAAACTAAATTATTAATACAGACTCGCGCGTAGCGCGAATTAAAAACCTAGTCTAATACTAATAAAAGTTGATGTTAAATGCCTCTAAGGATATCCACATAGGATTAAAAGATTCAATTATATTGGTACACATCATCATTATCTGTAGTTAATTATATATTATATAGTAAAATTAATTAATTTCGTTTTTTTTAAATAGAAATTTTCTAAATTTTAATTAATTTCGTTTTTGTTGTTATTAGAAAATTTTCTAAATTTTAAGTTACTTATTAATAAGAAAAAGTTTAAAAAGTAGATCATATTTTTTATTAACAATAAAAAGTAAATTAACATATAAATAGATTATTAAAGAAAAATCATATATATTGAACAAAATAATTAAAACCTGTATTTAAGACTATAATTTAACTATTTCAAATTTTTAATCATGACAAACAATTAAAATCTGAACTGATAACTTAAAATATATTAATTGTGGTCTGTGTTGATGTGTTATGCCAATGAGAGCGTCCACATAGGACATAGAAACACAATATGATTGGTCCATATAAACGTTTTTTATTAAATATAAAAATATTAAATATGATTAATAATTTAAATAATTAAAACACATAAAAATTAAAAATTATTGTAATATAATTGGAAAATTAAGATTAAAAAGTTTAACTAATAAAACAGATAAAATAAAGTTATGTCAAAAATCCAAATCTATAACGCTTGTCAAAATAAAATAGAAACACAGTGTGACAAAACTAAACTAACAAAAACAAATATATAAATCAATAATGAAAAAAAAAAATTTAACATATATTTTTTAAATGAGTAATTTATTTAATAAAAGTAGTAAGGTTAAATTTTGCCGCTAAACATATAAAATTATTATTTAAAACTAGAAATACTACAAAAAACATTTATGTTAAATTAACGAAATAAAAAGTCATCAAAAACTTGATATTGAGCCTAATTATTTAGGAAATCAACACAAAAAGCTTAGCAAACTAAAAAAAATAATATTTTATGTTAATTAGTGAAGAAAGCAATATAAAAACATTTAACTAACAAAAAACAAAATAGAAAAATGAAAATCTATATCGAAAAAGTTAAATGAACACAGAAAAAAACTTGATATCTATGCTATTTATTTATCAAGTCAATATAAACAAATTAGTAAGAGAATAAAAAAACTTAAATTAATATTAAAATTTTTTACTAATAAAAAGAAGATAAATGTTTACGTTAATTATCTAAGGAATCAATATTAAAAAACTAATTGATAAAAAAATATATTGCAAATTAATTTTTGCAAAATATTAAATATAAAAAATTTATTTAAAAAGAAATTAATTTCATATATGACTAACTTGTTGAAAAATCAATATAAAAATATTTAGCTAACAAAATAACGAAAGATGAAATCATGTCTTCAAAAATATCAATATTTTCAAAAACAATTATGTGCTAAAATAAAATATATATTTATATCAAAAAAGTAAATTATCAAAAGAAAAGATCGTATAAATTAAAATTAGCTTGGTATTTATGCTAATATTTTGAAAAATCAACATAAAAATATTAACTAAAAAGTAATGATGATATAAACTTTTGAGAGAAGTCCACATAAAATTTAGAATAACCAGTTA